CTCCTGTCTTGATTCCCCCACACTTGCCCCCATGTCTCCTGTCTCCATCCCCCGGCCCCATCCCCTCACATCCCCCGTGCTTCCTGTCTCCACCCTCCACGTCCCCTGTGTCTTCGTCTCCATGTGCCCCTTGCCTTCTGAGGCAGAGGCTGCAGACCACACAGCCATGACAACTGTTGTTTTGTGCTGAGTGACTCCTTCCGCTTTGTTCTTTGCAGGATGGTTTGGGCTATCGGTGTCCTTACCTTGCCCTCTCGGGTTTAGGAGAAGCTAGACAACTTCTGCTAAGAAATGCCTCTGGGGTTTTGGTAGAGATTGTATTGTGTCCATAGGCTAAACTGGGAGTATTTCTATTTTAACAGTATCAGGTCTTGCAGCCCATGGACTCAGGTATCTTTCTATTTACTAAGGTCCTTCAACATTTCTTCTAATTCTTTTGAAGGTTTCAGTGTACAAGTCTTGTGCATCCCATGTTAAATTTATTCTTAAGTATTTTATTTTTTAATGCTATAATAAGCAGAGTTGTGTTATTTACTTCCTTTATGGATGGTTCATTGCTAATATCCAGTACTCATAATTGATTTTGCTTTTAATGTTGATCTTGCGTCCTTCTGTAGCTCTGCTAGTTTGCTGTGTGAAAGTCCTAATGTCGATGCTGAAATGCACTTCCAGGTCAAAGGGCAACACTGAATGCAGAAGAAATGGCTGATTTTTACAAGGACTTTCTCAGTAAGAATTTCCAGAAGCATATGTATTATAACAGGTAGGCGTTTACTTTTTTCTAGATTGGGTAGGGTGCAAACAAGCAGAATGCAGTGGCCTTCGTGTTTCTGTCCAAGAGAGGATAACTTTATGGGCCCTTACTCGTCTCTATGCAGCCGCTGGCTGGTTTCATTCCCGTGGAGACACCCTGGCTGTTAGCCCTCCTTGGGACCGCAGCGGTGATGACGTTGCTGCGTAAACCAGTTGGAACTGCTTGTCACGTGGGCCCGTGGGTGTCAGAGCAGCGTTGTGCTCCACAGGCTTTCAGTGGCCTGTCTCTTCGGAAGTGAGTCCTCAGGCCTTTCTCCCACAGCACCCCCAGCGGCATTCCCTTGGTCTGGGTCTGTAGAGCCGGGGGCCCAGCGGGTGAATGCCTGACTGCTCCTGGTGAGGTTGACGGTTAGAAATGCCACTTCCTGCTCAGGAGGAAGAGGAAGAGGAGGCCTTCTGCTCTCCCCTGTGGGCATCGACTCAGCAGCGTTGCGCGTGAGTTTTTTGGTGTGGTGGTAACCGATGGCTCGTCTGGGGTTCCATGGCTAGAGGTGGTGGTTGACAGGGCCACATCAGGGCATTGTTCTTCGCCTAGAAATTTGATGAGTCAGAAGGAAGAGTCACCAAAGGAGGCAGCATTTTTCTACGTGGAAGATGGTGAGGGATCTCGGTGGCAGCCACCCACGGTGTTGAAGCCACCAAGCAGAAAAGCCAGCAAGAGCTATGTGAGGGAGGGCCCATGTGCCCCCTCAGCCTTTCTGTCTCTGTCAGGCCGGTGCCATCCCGTCCAGGGCCACAGGCGCCACCTAGGGGCCGCTCTGCACAACAGCATCCGGTGCTGTGCTGTGGAATCTCCGGGCCTCCCCTCTGTAGGGAAATGGGGGTGTGGCTACAGAACAGCCATCCCCAAAGGATACAAGAGTGTTTGGGGTCGTTGGATAAGGTTACAGGTTACTGTTATCTTGTAAACAGAGACTAGAGCGGCCCCATGGGGCAGGAGCAGAGCTGCCCCTGCAGGCCACAGTCCCTCAGAGGTGCTGATGGACTCGGAGCACTGAGCTCCCGCTCCTCCTGGGCAATAGGTGGTATTGGTAAATTGCTGCTCACTTTATGGGGTCCAATAACGGTGTTGTCAGTCCCTGCCATCCAGTCAGTCCTTCCTCACTGTCACCCTGTCTGACAGAGGAGAGCTTCCCCTTTCTGTAAAGGTTTCTGGGAGCAGAACACCTCCTCTTTCTCCCTTGGGGATGTTGGTGGGCTCAAACTGCTAACCTTGAGGCCAGCAGCGATCCGTCGCCATGCAGCCACCAGCACCCCCGTAATGTGCATTTCCTGAATGTGCACGTGTGACTACATCCCCAGGGGCGACAGTGAGCCCTCTCTCCTGCACTGCAGGCTCCTGGCGCGGCGCCCCTCGGGTTTGAGGCATAGGCTGGAGATGCTTACCAAGCTGTCTTTGCCACTGCCTCCTCCTCCTCCTCCTCTCCCAGATGTAGTGGTTAGGACAGTGCCGTGTGTGTGTGTGTGTGTGTGTGTGTGTGTGTGTGTGTGTTGGGGTGGCTGAGACTGGCTTTAGCACAGCAGCAGTGTGGCAGTGATGAGGGGCAACACTTGTCTTCAGTGACCAGTGTAACTGCCCCTGAGCTGCGGCCCGACTGGGGTGTGTCTAGACTGAGCACGCTGGCTGCTCTGGGGCAGGGTGGCCATTGTCAAAGCGGGGACTTAGGGCTCTCTGTGGGCAAATTGGAAATTTCCAGGGGAAAAGGGTTTTTGAAAACAAAGCAAATGTCTTCATTGTCTGGTACAAGGACCAGGCCTGAGACGGTTTGATTCTGTTTGCGACGCTGCCTGTGGTCACTGTGGAAACCTCACCTGCTCGGCCGAGCGGGGGTTACTGCTCTTTCTTTACACCTTGGCTTCTGAAGGACCACCTGCACGATCCCTGATAAGCCTCATTTGGGGTGAGGGGGTCTAGTGAGCCCAGAGCTCCCCTTCCTGTGCAAGCACCCCACCACCCCACCCCTTCACCTGAGCCCAATGTCCGTCCCAGAAGCATTGCTTTTGAGAGAGGTAGGGGCAGCCTGGTCTCAGGGCCAGATTCCTGGGTCCGATGGAGAGAGATGAAGGTGCTCTGGCTAGGAGAGGCCCCCCACACCAGGGCTTCCAGAGAGGGGCATTGTCTGGGGGCTGCCCCCTCCCAGCTGTGCCGAGTCTGTGTCCAGGCTACGTTCCTGAGCCCAGTGGGCAGAGAACAGACGGGGACCTGTCGCCGTCCACTGGAATGTGGCCTCTCCCATTGAGACTGCCGACCTCGGGGAGGGGGGTGGGCTCCCCACAGCCTCTGGCTGAGATACTGGGATGGGCTCCGAGATAGAAGTAAGCAGAAGCTGGGATGTCCCAGAAGGGGACCCTGCACTTGGTGGTGTAGCCTTACCCCGCAGTGCTGTTCACTGCTGCTGATCCAGGCCAGTGCCGCCCTCAGCCGGAGGGGCCCGCTGTGGGCCCTGGGCTTCGTGGGGTCCTTCAGGGTCGGCCTTCACGAAACCTCAGAGTGGGTGGGGAGGAGGGGGCTGCTGCTGCGGGAGGGGCTGCCTGGCGCCTCATGCGCACGTCTCTTTTCCTGACCCATGCAGAGACTGGTACAGACGCAACTTTGCCATCACCGTCTTCATGGGGAGAGTGGCCCTGCACAGGGCCTGGAAGCGGCTCCGCTCAGGCCGGCGATGACCCAGCGAGCCTGGAGCCTGATGACTGCCGTGCTAGACCTGCCGCCGCATCCCAGATGGCTGGTGTCTCCGAGGGTCCCAAAGTGCAGGCACGGTCCCTCCAGGGCAGCAGTATGGCCAGGAGACATCAGTGTCCCTCCAGGTGGGGCATGACCCAGACTGCCTGACTCTGGCTTCCCAGGGGGTCCATGTCACATGGGGCAAAGGCACACAGCGTCTGCCAAGCAGAGCCCAGGAAATGCTAATAAAGTGTGACTTGACCACAGGGTGGTCCTGGCGCTGCTGCCTCCCCGTAGCCCCAGCTGTACCTGCCCTTCGCCAGCCCTGTCCATCCTTCCCTCTCCAGGGAGGCCCGGTCTTGCTCACCCAGGCCTCTCTGATGTCCCTCAGAAAGCCCTGGAAAATGGGCGATGGCCTTGGGGGTGAGGGGTAGGGTGTCTGTGGGACCCACCAGACACCCCCCATCCACAAAATTGGCTTTCAGAACCAGGGTCCATTAGCCAGTGTCCGCAAATGGCCAGAGGCTGCTTGGCAGACAGTTCTTTCTCCTAGATGAAGAGAGGGGAGCCCGGCTTCTCCTGCATTGGTGGCTCCCAGGCCCCTGACCCCGAGGCGGCTCCACAAACAGCATCAGAGTGTCCTGTCGCCTGCGTGTATTTGATGTGTGAAGCTGCATGACCTGCCAGTGGCCAAAGAGAGCAGGGCTGGGTGTGGCTTGCTACCACCCTGGAGGGTGGGCTAGTGGGCTGGGGTAGGGTTCAAGGATAGGGTGCTGGGTTAGGTAGGCTGCAGGGTCAGTGGTCTAGAGTTAGGATGCTGGATGCCTGCCCAGGCTCCCATAGTGGGCAAAGGCAGAAGGTATATAGTTCTCTGTCCCTCAGCTCGCCCTGGTAGCGCTGGCCGGCCTGCTTAAAGACTATTTAAAAATTATCTTTCTGGTCTTAGGGCTAAATAGCTGTTTCCAGGGTTGACAGTTTCTGATTCTTTGTGTAAATCCATTCTGAGGGAGAATAGTTGTAGAAGTCAGGAGAGAGGTGGCCCACCTGAGCGGGCTTAGGAGAGCGCACCCAGCCTGGTGCACAGGTGCGTGCTCTCTCCCGGCTGAAGATCATAGAGGAAGCACCGCGTGGCCACGAAGACACAGGGGAGGGGCTGCTCAAGGTGTGTGTGGGGTTCTCCCGAGGCCTCTGCAGTGCCTCTGTCCCGAGTCACTCAGGACCGCTGGGATAGCCGCCCCAGATGGGTCAGCCTGCATGCTGACCTTTTGAGTGACTGGTCCTGCTGTGGGCCCAGGCCCTAGCAGTTCCTGCTCAGGACTCCCTAAACTTTCTACTCACAACTCCTTCACCTGAGAAATTGTCAGCGTACGTAAGTTCTCAGAAACATCTCGGATTCATTATGCATTTGATTTTTGAATTACGTAACCTTTTGGTTTTGTGTGTTATGTAACCTTTTGGCTTTGTGTGTTCAGAAACCTATTATGAAACTCTTTGAGAGCCGCACATTCAGCTACAGGGCCCCATACGGGGTCTGGACCTGCAGTTTAAGAAGCTTTGTTCCTGCTGACCTGCCCACCTGGCCCCTGCACACATACTTCCAGTGCACGCACAAAGCCCTGTGGTCAAACTGCTCAGGACGTGTAGGGGTGGACACGCAAATAGAAACATTTCTGGCAACATACCGGCCAGGACCATGATGCCCTTGATATGGGCCAGGACCTGGTCCACGGGGGCTCCCTGCCCACCCTGTTTGCCTCAGTGCTTTGTGGGAGCCCAGACGTGGTCGCCCATCTGCAGAGAGTTCTTGGCTGGGCCCACGTCCAGCCAGCAAGGTCGTGAGCTCGGACAGTGGTGGGTGGAGAGGGACAAAGGTTCTCCCCCACAGCCCAGAGGAGAGTCATCCTCTTAGGAGCAGCTTAGTGAGCAAACGCTTGGACGGTGTCCTGCCCCAGACAGAGCTCCTGTAAGTGCAGTCCATGAGATGACATGCTGCTTTCTGTTTGGGGGTGAAAGCCAGGGGGTTATTGAAGGAGAGCACGGTTGGCAAACTGGGGCACATGGGTCGAGGGGCAGCTCTCAGCTCCAAAAAAGGTTTTCTTGGAAGGTGTCAGACGAGCAGTGACCAGATGGGGCAGCTCCCTGCAGGTGTGGCTGTGAAGTTGGCATGGAAGGTGCATGCGCTGTGCCCTGCACACCCAGCACCCCTGCCTGACTCAAGTCACTGGGGTGGGGGGTGGGGGGTCAGGGATGCGCAAGCAGAACATGACAGCCCTTGAGCCTCAGTGACCTTGTTCATGGCCTTGACAGCAACAGTGTCATTCAGTCAGTCCCAGAAAGGCCTCAAGCGAGTAAGACACACGAGTTCTTTCTTGATTTCAACCCCGGAGATTAAGTGATTGCAGCAAAGGGCAGTTTAGGTCCCAGATACATGCAGGTAAATCCTCAGGTTATTTGACCCTCAGACGCAGGTGTGTTTGTGCAGGTGAGCAGATGAAGGTGGTTTGGCGGGGGTGGGGGTGGTGGGGGGGGGTGGTGTTGGGGTGTTTTGCTTTCACTCTAGGATGCTGTGTTCTTAATGGTTCTTGAACGGAAGGTAGAGTTAGACTCGCTGATTCAGATTCTTAGGGAGAGAGGGCCCCCCATAGGGCAACTGCACCAGTAGGTTTCGGAGACTAACTACGGAGCAGACAGCTTCATCTCTTCTCCTGCAGAGCAGCTGGGGGTTTTGAACAGCTGACCTTGTGATTAGCAGCTCAACATGTAACCACTGCCCCACCATGGCTCCTTTTTTGTTGATGTTGGTTTTCCTAATTGCCGGGGTGGCGGGAGCGGGAACCCGGCCTATGGGCAGGCTTGGCTCTGTTCAGGAAAGTAGCCGTGAGCTTCTGGTGAGGGCCCACGCAGCACGTCAGCTTCCGGTTTGATTTCCCCACCATGGCCCTTGGCCTGGTGCCAGCTCTTCAGTGTGGGATGGTTGGCCTGCCGCCGCCGGTGATCTTCCTTTTTATCTGTCTCCCCTCCGCCTTGCCCTGGGCTGGCCTTCCTTACCAGCCTGGCCAGGAAGGCCTCCGAGCAGGCCACCTCTTAGGAGTCTACCTCCTTTCCCTGTTGGGGATCACAGTCCCTGGGAGTTTGGGTGCTGGTAGGGCCCTCCCGGCTCTCCATAGACCCTTTGCAAACATCAGCAGCACAGGGTCAGACGTGGGGTGACAGGCACTGAGCCACCCAGCTAAGGGTGTGCCTTCTCCCTGCCATCAGGAGCCAGTGGATGCCCAGGAGGCACCCAGTATCAGAGGGTCTCTCCTGTTACCCCACCGTGCAACCCCCCTCAGGCCGCTGGCCACCCCAAACCCTGCCTACAGCAGGCTTAGGGACTGATACTACCTTCCTGGGCCAAGCCTCCACATGCTGCCTCCCAGGCTGTCCCAGCAGACTCTGGGTTCCTGTGTCTTGTGCACCCAGGCCTGGGCTGGTTTGTCCTTTTGGCTACTCTGTACCCCTTATGCATCCGTCTGTCCATCCATCTGTTCATCCACGTGGGAGTGGACATCACATGGGAAGCAAGTTGACTCAGTAAGTGATGAGGGTAGGGATGTGTGTGGTGGACAAAAACAAGCCTTTGCTCACCAGCAGCTCTGGGTAGCAGCCTTGTGCACACTTGCACAGATACCTCCGCGCATGGACAGACACATGTGCATACACACATGTCCCGAGAGCGTGCAGACCCACAGGATGGGAGGAGAAATGCTGCCACACCTTGAAGAGCACACTAGGGGCTCGTGGATTAAGGCTCTGTTTCCCATGTTCTCATTCTGAGTCAAAAAAGCCAAGCCCAACCCACCACTGCGGAGCCGGTTCCAACCCAACCGTAAAGTGTCCTGGAGAGTTCCTGAGACTGCTGACTGCCGCAGCTCTCTCCCACAGGGCCCCTGCTGCCTTTGAACTGCCAACCTGCCCAACCAGCTGCTGAAACGACTGTGCAGCCAGGCCCTTGATTCTGTAACCCCCTGCTGCTGAGCCCATTCTGACTCAGAGACCCTGCAGGACAAAGTAGACCTGCAGCTCTTCTGGGGAGCAGGTAATCCCATCTTTCTCCAAAGAACACCTGGTCAGTTCCAACTGGTGACCTTTCCGTTAACAACCCAAGGCTTAACCTACTGCTCCAATCACAGGCTTTAATTCTGTTAACTTTTCCTACCGGGATGCCTCCCCTCCGATGTGGGAGAGTTGTGAGTATCTCTAAGTGCTAGGTAACAAATGCTGCTCTGAAAAGTGGAGCTGGTACCCAGCGGAAGACAGACTAGGAGGCTGGGACCCCCCTAAAAAGAAGACACTGCATCTGAATTGAGAGAAACCAGACCGGCAGCACACAGATCGGAACGAGTCTCCACGATCGGTGGAGAACCCCGACAAGAAAAGGACAAGTAGTCCAAGTCTGCGCAGCTAGCGAGAGCTCGTCAGTCCCGTCTGACCCGTAGTGACCCGGTAGGTCCGCGCAGAACTGCCCCTGTGGGTTCCATGCCTACTGTCACCGTTACTGGAGTTGAAAGCCTCTTTCTTCTGAGACAGACACAGCTGTGGGTCTCAAACTGCGATCCTGTAGTTAGCAGTCCAATGCAGCACCACCACTCCACGGAGACTCCTAAAAGTAGCAGAGCATTTGCCATCCCAACCACCTTTGCGTGTCCAGGTCAGTGAGGAATGATGCTGTCCCACTGTCCAGCCATTGCCATCGGTCATTCCCCAGTGGTCCACCACCCTCAGATGGGCCGGGGGTGGGGTGGGGTGGAACTTGGTCAGGCCAAGAACCTGGAAAAGATAGTGTGCCCTGTGGCCAGTGGTCCTTGGTCCTGCACAGCAGACCCCGCAAGTGGCCCGTTGAGCAATGTGCTGTCAGGGGTATAGGGGCCTCCCCCTGACACCCAGTTGCCCTGGAGGCATGTGCACCAGCAGATCTGCTAGTCCGCCATCCTAGACTGCAAGGTGTCCTCTTGTTCCGTGCCCCTCCCACCATGCTGATACGGTCAGTCCATGTCCCCTGGCTGTCCTGACCTCATTCACCCAGACACTGGGCTTCTGCTGCCATGGACAGACCCTGG